AGAGCAGTGAAGTGCTCACGGCAGAATCAGCGACACCAGTCACTTGCTCACTGGCCCCTTCCTCAGACACGGCCTGTGCCGTGTTGGGCACAGGTATTAATATTTAGAGCAGCCTCCGGCAGGGCTGAGGGACAGGGACTGTGTAGGGCAGGAATAATTCTCCTTCCTGCTACAGTGGTGGGCTGACGGAGAGAATCTGCTGCAAGGTGAGGAAAGGTCAGGGTTGTTATCTGCTCTAAGACTCCTGAGAGATGATTTTTGATGCAATAATAAAATAGCAAGCCTAAATCATGTTCCTAAATTTGTCACTTAAAAAAACAAACACATGAATGTAAAAATGTTCATTTGAGGCTCTAAAAATAAATGCGCATATGGTTTTGCTCATTCATCCAGATGTTGATATAGCACAAAAATATTTTCTTTAAAAAGGAGCACAACTGCATTTTGGCATTTGTGGTAGATGGAATGACGGTCCCCCAAAGATTCCACATGTCCTAATCCCTGGAACCTGCGAACATGTTACCTCGTATAGTAAAAGACACTCGACAGATCGTTACTAAATTAAGGATACTGAGATGGGAGGATTCTCCTGGCTTATCCATAGAGTGCCAGTGTAACCACAACGATCTTTCTAAGTGGCAGAGTAAGATGCACAGGTGGAGGTCGTGAGAAGGACTCCACCTGCTGTTTCTGATTTTGAATTTGGATGAAGAGAGCCATAGGCCAAGGGAATGCAGGAATTTTCTAGCAGCTGGAAAAAGAAGGAAAAGCATTCTCCGAAAAGCCAGCAGAAGGCATACACTCTGAAGAAACCTTAATTTTAGGCCAGTGAAACTGATTTCAGACTTCTGACCTCCAGAACTGTAAGATAATAAATTTGTGTGGTTTTAAGCCACTCCATTTCTGGTGCATTATTATAGCAGCTTATAGTAGAAAACTTATCTGGTGTAGTTCAGCACTACACAGAATTCAGAGTAGTCTCATGAATTATGGAGTCTTTTCTACTAATGTTAGGAAATACAAAGGAATTCCAGCTTATCACTACAAATATTATTCTTTGGATACCAAAGCTAAACCACTGGAAACGACATCCGGGAAGAACAACTAGAAAATCTGTGAATTGTATTCCTACACCCCATTCATTGTCAAGCCTAATTATAAACTTGTTTTTACCCCAGTCTTCACCCTGACCCGTTATTAGTGTTTGTAGGTGAACAATCATGAATTTGCATTTTTCATTAGTTGCTTGAATTTCTGAGTCTTGGAGGGACAGAGATTCAGCTAAGAATTTGTGTATCGCCACTTGTTATCAAGCTGCAAGTTACATGTGAAGGAACTGAACCTTAATTTGTTTCTGGTTCTCCTGGTCTACAGGTTGTCTCCACCTCATCCAACTTTCTAACCGATATTTACCCAGGCACAAAACAGAAACGACAGACAGTGACTCTTCTGAAGCAAATGAACGTTCTCCTAAACGCCGCAAACCAGCTAGAACAAAGAAAAAAGGTCGGCAAAAAGGAACAGAGCTTCCTTGCCACAGTCACAAAGCCTGGGGAATGTGGGCTTTCAAAGAAGGAGGGGAAAAAAAGGAAGAAAAAAAAATAGAATGGGAAGTACAGTAAGATTGTGCAGTATATTCCAATTCATCCAGAATTATTGAAAGCAGGGAGATTAGCATGAGAATGTGATGGAATACATGAATTGGCAGTTTTCGAGGTAGCCAAATAGAATAACATAACCCTTAATATGAAAATGGTTCTCAATTTAATTTAATCTCTTTGATGATTCTGAAGTCGCCTCAGGGTGCTGCAACATTTCCTTTCTGCGGTCATGAATATTAATCATCAGGGCTTAATGCTCTAGAAAACAGTTTAGGGAATTTTAGCCTTCCACTTGCAGGCTTCTTTAGAACCGCAAGGGTATAAGCGTTTCTTAAGGAATGAATGTCCTTATAGCTGTGGCCTGGAAACTTCCTGTGGGCCCGTGAATGAACCAAGGTACTTCAGGGTGAAGAAAATGCCTCTGTCAGGTTGAAGCATCTTCCTTTTTATGATCACTTGTTCTGTCCCGTAAGGAACATGGTGGAATAAGTCAGCAGGTGCTGAGCTGGGTCTGCTAGTGCCCTCTGCACACTCTGCAATCCTCCTGCTCTTGCAGACTGGATTCCACGGCATAGAGAGAGTTCTAGCTTCCTCCTTAGACTGTTTATTTCCAGGGCCAGGTTCTTAAGAGGTGATGAACAAATGCATGGATGATTCTTTCATTTTCTTTTTTCTTCTTTAATTTTTTATGGAGATGGGGTCTTGCTGTGTTGCCCACCCAGGCTGGTCTTGAACTCCTGGCTTCAAGCACTCCTCCTGCCTCAGCCTCCTAAAGTGCTAGGATTATAGGCGTGAGCCATTGCATTCATCTATGAGTAAAATTCACATGAGCCTACAAGGTCTGAAGGTTCCTCCCTACATCAATACTGTCCACGAAACCATTGGCTGATGACAGCCAGGACCACAGGGCAAAAGTGTTTGAGGAGGTATCACGGTGGTTAATGAGAATTTTTTTCTTAGATTACAGCCAGGAAGCAATTCTCTCCAAAAGGAGAATATTCCCATCCCTTTACTACAGAGGGGTGGAGTACAGCACTC